CCCTGATGTAAGTTTATTGGGAAGACTGCATATCTGATCGAAAATATCAGACTTACTTATTTCTGATGTAATTAGAGAAACAAATATTAGAGAGCCTCTTACACTTGACACGCAAATCTGAAAACTTTGCATAATTATCATCTGAGCGGTTACTAATGTAAAAAGAGTGTGCACGTCTCTTCTGGCAAGTCAATTTTCTAAGATCAGAAGAAAACCATTTGGGAAATGTAGAAGTTTTAAATTTTTTTACTGGGACAAAATATGCAATACCAGTGGCCAAAATCTCATAAAAAATATTTATTATGGCATTTACATCATTGCTTATATTTAAATATTTTTGCCAATTAATAGAAGCTAAATAATTATTAAGTTCCCTATAGTTTGCATTTCTAAAGTCGTAATAAAATTCTTCATAAGTTAAATTGGTACTTTCTTTTGTATTGGACACCGATAATACACACTCATACCCAATATGATGATGACTGTCATTTAAAAGCAGCTCAGAGGCATGTGTGACAACAACCTCTTTACTATTAGAAAAAACTAAATCTAAAAATACATTTCTATCATTTGGAATGCCATTCATTTGGAAAAGTCTAAGATAACCAAACACCTGAGCCACTTGAAGGGCTGGGTCGCCCTGAGGGCATTGCACAATTGCTCCAAATTCATCATTAGTCCACGCAGCATTAGGTAAGTTATAATCGCCCAAGATATAGATATTTCCTGCAGAATGCCGCTGCCAAACATTCTCCACCGCTTCACAATGCCAGCCATAAACATCCCTTGATGATTGTGGAGGGATGTATACACCACCCAATATAAACCTGAATTTATTAATCTCGCACAGAACAAAAATCTGCTCCACTCGATTTTCCTCAATTTTGATGCACAGTGATTTAATACTTTTTTTAATCAATATCAAAACACCTCCACCACTTAACTTCTTGCTTCTGAAAGAATTACGATCACTTCTATAGACACAAAACTCTTCAAATTTAATTTCACTATCACTGAAGTGATCATTTAAATTACTTTCAACCAAAACTATTATGTCATAGGCGCAACTTGCTACAGAGACAAAAGTACAGATTTCAACAAATCCACTAATTTGGTCCGTAGACCTCCCACATTTTGAAAATAAATAGTTAATGGGGTAGAGGCAGGTTTTTTTGTTGTTTTGGTTGTTTCGTTTCCACAACAGGTAAGCCATTACGATACTTTATAACAAGATTATCTTCGCCAGCTGTCTTTCTACTTTCAAGTAATGATTTTGCTTTGGTGTACGCATCCTGTTGCATTTTAGTCTGGTCATTAGATACTCTTACTGTAGATCCGCGTAGCTTATTTCCAGACTTTAAAGCCAGTTTAACTGTCTCCTGACTATTGCATATGACCTTTATAGGTCTAGCTTTAGTGTTATTTAAAACCCTTTGCCCCACCCGCACCACCTTTAAGGCTACATTATTCTGCAAACCAAGCTTGTGGAATACTTCACTGATCTTAGCTTTATCATAGTCTATTCGCTCCTCCAATGATTGTGAATTTAGCTCAGGCACATTATACACCATTAAGTTTTGGGATCGAATCATTCTTTGGTTTATTTCATATAGCATGGATTCAGTAGAACCCTCGCTAATAACTGTTTTCTCTTTCTCTAAGGCAACAACCTTTTCCTTTAAAGCCACTATCTCATTCTCCATTACAGTCATTTTTCTGACCATAAGTGGTACGCTTTTGAAAGCCTCTCTGCAAGCTTCGCAAAAATGCATCAGTATTCTTTTCTGCAATTGAACTGCTCTAACTTCAGATGCTGATAAACCCGAGCACCGTTCTTGTAAGTGGGACTTTGACCTGCAGGTATCACAGGCTATGGATTGCTATTCATCAGCACCCAGATCCAGAGAGCAGGTTGAACATAAATTGTGGGCCATAGTGGAAATATAAACACTGCACAACTAACCTCAATTAATATTGCGAGTAAACCCGCCTGGGACGACAAATTTTACTTTGCAGTGTGTACAATGCACCTAGCACACTCCACTGCAATGAATTATATAATTTATTTTGAGTTTTATAACAATTTAATTAAGAAAAATGCTTAAATAAATTTTAAGAGCACCTAACCTCACTCTTCTTCAGTTTAAAAATCTTTAATTAAACTACTATCTACCTAAACTATAACTATAGAAATATTACTGGCCTGACGAGACCCAGTTGTAAGCAGTTTTGAATTTTATATTTAACGAGTTGGCTAACTGCACCTAGTTCTCACCTTTGTTGGCACACACCACACGACAATTATTTTTCTATCCTGTGCAAAATGCTTTTTGTTGATTCTACGAACCACATTATCTAATCCATGTGTTATTCCCAAGAGCTACTCGTTAATTTCCCTTCATTCTCATCGAAATGGGGCACCTAATCTATCACTATCTGACGGTCTATGACTTTAATCTTCAACCTATGAATAATTCTCAGATAGGTACCTATTGTTTCTTTTCGAAATATTTTACATAAAATTATTAGATAACTTTATGTATTTTTTTTTTTCTAACAATAGTACCTACCTATTGGAGTTTAAAGGCATCAGAGTAATTATAGTTTATTGTTAACTGTAACTTCGGACTTCCATTGTTTCTGTTCTTTACTAATTTTAAGCTTTGTTTCAATAATATGTAAAGTTCAATTGAGTAGGTATACAAATAATAAAAAATGTTTTTTTTTTGCTCAGTTTTGACCCTTTACCTAGGTAGGTATATATATCCAAGATCTTTCTGGGTATGATCCAGCAGCAAAAAACCCTAATGCTGTGAATCAGGATCCATAAACGAATTATCATACGTGACACAAACTCTATAAAACTGAACATAATGAGAAGACAAACCCAAAATCTGCAAAAGCGCGGTGGTAAGAAATCACAATTTGTCCACGGAAGATATAATCCGCCTACATAATAATATAATTCGTACGAAAAAGTTTCATATAAATTAGACGTTGTCGAATTGCATAGGCAATCTGGAGAATCTACGGTTTCGGAATCACATACCAAGCTGTCATTCCGTTTATGCCAATCTATAAGAATGGAATGGTGAGAAAAGAAAAAGAGATGACCTCTTTCGGCCCCGGATCTGTCTCTAAAAGCCCCACAATAACCTATCTTTTCTGTTTTTGTTGTTACGTATTTATTCAAACCAACGTATAAGGTTAAGATAAAATTATTTTGCCTGTAATCAAGCTTGTTCAGCGAATTGTTCATATAGGGTCGAAGTTCATCAATAAAAAAACGTGTTATTTGTTTATTGGGTCTAAAAAGATCAATGAATTAGACTATCCAAGATGTTGTCAAACTTAAATTAAAATGTTCGCCAAGAGGCACGCACACAAACCCTTTGTTAATGTGTTTGGGTTGTCAAAGTCACGTGTTATAGATAGGCTAATTGTTCTTCAACCAAGGAAAATGGATCGCTATTGTCCGACATTATTCTTCTCCCGCCTAAATGAAAGTTTCTGCACGTTCCTCTTGGCCTTGGACAGCCAAAACAGGATGCGGTAACATTTCAAAAATATTTAGCAATCGACAAAATTAGAGGCAGGCAGAAAAGTAAAATACACCCATACACCTCAGACAAAACAGTCAATCAAAACAAAATAACTTAGGTTAAGTACCTTTCCTCTAACCTCAAATTAGTTTTTACCTATCAACTTTCATAGCTTGGTAGAAACAAAATTTCCTCAGCGATTCCCGAACATTTCCGAGATTATTTCGCTATCGTTTCGAAAATGCAATGCTATATTTACCAGAGTGCCAACGGATATTTCTAACTGCGAATGTTAGAATCGAAACGAAGCGATTCTGACAAAAGTTTGCTAATTATCAGAGTCCCACTGCGATGTAAAGTCTGTTTTTTTTTCAAAGATAAAAATCAAAATGAAATTATGTTGCCAAAATAGTTACTAAATTTTTGACTTGGGGAATTATCTTTAAAAAAAAAACAGACTTTAATTAACAAAATTCGAATTAATGTATAATCGTCTTTGGACTCTTTGGTAGCTAACGTCAGCATTGTATGTGTGTGTGTCTAATTTGAATGAAGAATATAGGTTATGTTACGTATGTCAGTCTCCAGTTGACGTCCCAGGCAACGAGCCGTAGGAAGCTATAAAAAAGTGTCTTTCTTCAATTTTCAGTGGTAAAGTTTGTTGTGCTTTACTTAACAGAAATATGCTTTTATTTATTTATGACAAGCTCACAGCCTATTGCAAGTTTTTCAGTGATAAAGTCCCCATATTGAAAATAACAACCTTTTATGAGAGAATATGTTTTCAATTTTTTTGTTCTCAATAATTTTAGATAACTAAAGACGCTGATGAAATATCTAAATATTTTTGAGATATAATTTTCGCTGAAAAAATAAACGAGGAAAAACTACACTGCACTGCTACAAATCACTGATAAGTATATTTTAAGTTATTTCACGCTAACACTGTGACGTGATACGGCACGAGTATATAACAGTCTTGATTGAGTGATATCTGTGAATGAACCTACAATCCTTTTATTTAGTTTTCAGTTTTATTACAACTCCCAAAAGTATGACACGCGTAACATTACCAAAATTATTTAATATCAGCAAATCCACGCAACAGGCACTTCTAACTGCTTCATCGGTAATTTGATATAAAAAATTAATTCAGTTTCTTTGTGACACCCTATATAACTACCCCCTAGCTTCAAAGTCATCCCCTAAAATTCATCAACCCTCACCCTCCCTAAAATCTGACCTCGGTTGCAGCCCCTTGCTTGGACGAATGAACAAAAACAGTATCACGTTTCAATGTCAACAGAGAGAGACGTCACCTAACAAAACTCCTCCTGCCGATGTCTGCCATCTTGTGACGTCACACAGGTAACTACCAATCGCATTGCAGGATAGAACAGCGGAAAAGTGGAAGGAGTCTCAGGTAGGTTGGGACTGCGAGTCTTGTGGTTACCGGGAGAAACAGGCAGTAGTCGATGTTCGTATGTCGACTTCTCGATGTTTTCGTATGCGTTGTGTTTATATACTTGTAGTTGGTAGTGATTGTAGAAAATATCGTAAATAATAATTGTTGAATTTTTTAAAAATTGAAACTCGTGACTTTATTTATTGTAAAGACTGGGAACTCTAGTGCAGAACTTAGTGATCGTTGCAAAACCTTGTGACCTTATGGTGATTTTGTATGGTGGTACTTTTTCGCGAAATTCTGGTGAAGTGATTTTGTTGATGAAGGAACTGAGCTTTCGGTACTCTACGGGAGTTGGAGGACTGCTTCTTTTATCCTGAAAAGGTGGGGATGATAAATTAGACTTTTTGCACTATAGTTTTAGTCAGTTGCATTATTCTGCGTTTAAATAATGTTTACTCTTACACACATTCAAAAGCTCGCTTGCTAAACTGCAATTTGTTGGCTTTTGTATTTTTTTTTTTAAGTCAGGACAGGCGAAAAGATCAAACATTTAAATCAGTATAAATCAAATAAACATAAAAAAGAAAAAATTGAAATAGGTATATTGATCCCTTTTTAAATGAGAGCAGAGCCAGGTAAAGGCGCGATATCAAAAAGGAAAGGCGGCATTTGGAGGCAACCCATATCCTTTCTTTTTCTCGTTGTGTCAACCGAAGACGGTCAATTAAAAGGTCGTTAGCTCTTTCGGTCAAAATTTATAATTATGGGTTTCGATGCTAACCCAGGAACGGTGTTTATTTATTTTGTACATATGTACGTATATGGACCGATGAAATGACTAATACACTACTTCATCACTGAGTTTGCTATATCAAACTGGTCTTGTTTTTTGTATCAGGAACACCTTAGATCATAGTTTTGAATGTCTTAATGGTTTGTTTGATCTGTTCGGATAAATTATATAACAGGCGTTAAGTAAATCCAAGATGAAAAACCTATACTTACTCTTGGACCATGAATTAAAAGAATGATGGAGTTTATTTGTATGGATATTTAATGTGCATTTTCAGAATAATTTTTAACCTTCCCAAAAATGTAGAATAAAAAACAATTACATCCGACGGTCTAATCACATTTATACGTTTAACTAATATATCTTTCAGTATTTTCGCGATTGTTATAGTCCTATAACTAGTCTTTATTTGAAGAGCAGATTCAAAAAAACAGCATCTTCTGCATCCCTGCTTTTTATTTATTTTTTTCTGTCAATATTGAATTTTTGGAATCGCGTCTTTCGGTGTGACGTCAGATTACCCGTTTGACTCGCTCTGTTGCACTCGATTGCCTTTTACTCTCTGACAAACGCCTGAGAAATGAAAAAAAAAAATACACTATCAGCTTCTAAGTTCTAACTCTTATCTAATGAATTTTCGGTGAACTCATTCTTTTTACGAATTTTCTTTTTCTAAGTTCGTCACATCACAGCAACTCAAAAAACTGGAGTATGTAGGTATGTACCTATAAAAGGGGACTGCAGGTCTTCTAAGCCAAAGCTCTAACCAAAAGTCCCTTGAGCAATTTGACCGGTTTATTACAAAAATGTAATTCCTTAGTCAAAGGTTAATTTTAGGAACATGAAATTTGATTAGATTAATAAATTCACAGTCTATATATTTAGTATTATTGACTAAGTATATGGAAAATAAAAAATAAGGATTGAACTGCCCTTATCCTACTAAGATATACTGAAGCTTGAAGGTCTCCAACATACTTCCATATGACACTAGCAGAGGAAATATAGGATATACGTGATATTGTTTGAAATACAAATATCTCAAAAATTTCTTTTAGACTCAAGTCTATCAATTCTCTATTGCAGTCAGCTGTAGGTGACCAGATACTACATGCATATCCCAAGTGGGTCCTGACAAAGGCATTATAGAGCTTTACCAAGGTATTAATTCTATGAAAATGTTTGGTATTTCTAGTGATGAAGTCCAAGGCCCTAAATGCCCTGTTAACAATTAGTGCAAATTAAAATGCATATTGGATTGGAAAGTGACTCCCAGGTCCTCACATCAGTGGTCCCTGTTATAATATTTAGATATTATAGGTGGCGGTGGTTAAACATTCCCAAAATACGTTGCAACTCCCTTACCGATGTGGGCGCCTTCAAAGCATGAATGGCTTTAACTCTGTCCAGATCGGGCATAACCCCTCTATCAGAAAAAAATTGTCCTAAATAGGTACTTACTATTCAATTTATACTGAACTTTGTTTCGATTAAATTTTATATTTAAATTTTTTGCTTTTCGCATTAAAATTTTAAGTGCTTCCTCATGAGATTTTTCATCGCCTGAGGCCAATAAAATATCGTCAAAATAGACTATTAAACCTGGGACATCTGCAAAATGTTCCTCAACAACATATTGAGAAAACTCTGGAGCGTTAGCAACCCCCATCGGTAACCTGTTAAATCTATAACACCCAACAACAAATTTTTTGAAGCTTCGTCCAATTCAATTTGGTAATAACCCTCTTGAAGGTCAAATACACTAAAATATTTTTTACTAGCTAAATTGGCTGAAATTTCCTCTACAGTGGGGATGGCATAAAAATCTCTCCGAATTGCCTTGTTTAAATCTTGTGGATTTAAACATAATCTAAGAGATTATCTGCCTTTTCCACAATTACCAAATTATTGACCCATTGCACTTCCCTGGCTCCATATTTTTACTTATGATTCCTAATTTTTCTAATTCATTTATTTTTTCTTTAAATTTGTCCCTAATACCCAATGGTACTCTTCTAGGTGGTTTGACTACAGGACTGTAATGGTTTTTCAAAATTAATTTACATTTCTGCTGAAATTTTCCTCTAAAATTAAACTCATTTTCTTGGATAAATTTTTGTTTTTCTAGCTCATAAGTCTGATCACTACTTTTTTCAGTAACATTTGTTAAGAACCCTAAAATTGTTGAACCCTTTAAACCTAATAGTGGGCCTACTTCAATATCCACAACAATGAAATTTAATGTTTGTTTTTATTTTGATGTCCAACTTTACATTTTAAATCAACATTCCCTACAGACCTAATTTTAGATCCCACCAAAAGCTTGTAAAATAACAGTACCAACTTTCAATAATTGCTCTTTTTCAAAATACTTTTTATGTAAACTTATCGCCAAAATGTTGTCCTCAGATCCTCTATCTATTTTAAATTTAATGTCAAACCCATTTACATTTATAAGTTCAAACCAAGCACCCAAACTTTCTACATTTACTACATTACTTACTTCGATACTTTCTATTGTAAAGTCCTCTATTTCCTCACTCTCATCACCATCTCTTTGTACTTCTTTCACTTTACGTACCTTGCAGCATCTTGAAAAATGATTTAGTGTTTCACATTTTAGGCATTTTTTCCCAAAAGCTGGGCACTGTCTGAAACCATGAGTTGTAACACAGCGATAACAGTCAAACTTGCTTACATTTTCAAGTTTCATATTTGAGCTGCTCTCTCCATTTTTCCGAAACCTGCCTTGGAATTTACTTGCACCTTGTCTCTTTACTTCAAAAACTTGTTCATTCTGTAACTCTTGCACTTGAGATTTAGTAATTTCTGCTGCCCTACACTTATTCTCCGCCACTGTTAAATTAGGATCTTCTTTCTGTAACAACCTCTCCTGCATCTTTCTATCTCTGATTCCTAATAATATTCTATCTCTAATAAAAGACTCCCTTTGATCTTCAAACTCACAGGATGTTGACAGTTTTTTTAGATCGGTAACAAAATGGTCAAAAGTTTCTGAGACTTCCTGTTTTCTACTAAAAAATTTGTACCTTTCGTACACTAAATTCCATCTCGGATTTGCATAGTCTCCAAATGCTTTCATTACTTTTGCATACTTAACTATTTCTGTCGTCACCTTCAAATTGAAAGTTATTAAATAAGTCAACAGAATCCTCACCAATACAATTCAGCAAAAATAGCTATTCTCACATTGTCTGGTTTCTTATCTTTTCCAGAAGCAACTAGAAAAATCTCAAAATTTTGCTTAAATCTCCTAAAGTTTTCGGATAAATTTCCTTCCAATTTCAATTCAGTTGGTAATCGGACATCCATTTTGCAAATTTCTTGATTTTACAATAAAAACTGGAACATACAAGTCCGTAAGTACTTCCACTTGTAAAAACTTCGGTTCGATAATCAAACTATTCAGCCCACACTACCGGGACACACCACAATTAACTACACTTTTATTTCAAACTTTAAATATCAATTTTTTAACTAGAAATTCAAGCTTTTTCTAAATTTTAAGCCTTAATAGACTGCGCCATGTTTTATCTATGAAATGAAACTTGTTTTTAAACTCAAATTATGAATTTATTAAATAAATTACAAAACTTAAATACAACGATTCCAATGATAATCATCTGTCAACGATGTCAACTACTGACAATGTTGCCATAGACTCCTTAACTAAAATAGACATTGACCAACAGCGCCACCTATAATATCCAAATATTATAACAGTCCCTTCTTGCGAGCATTTCAGCATCCAGATTATAACTGTATTCTAGATATTGACAACGCCTTGTGTATACGTCATACAGAAGCATTTACTGACATTCAACAATATTTTGTTGTCGGAAAACCAGGCCCTGACAATGGATAAATGATAAATCGTTCTGAAGAACCTGAAAATCTGCCTGGGAAGAGACCACTGTGAATATCTTGAAGTCATCAGCAAACAACAAACAGTCAGAATTTCCAATACAGTCAGGTAGGACATTTATGAATATTGCAAAGAATAGGGGAGATAAATTGCTGTCCTGAGGAACACCAGAGCTGCCAAAGTATTGCTCAGATAGTTCCATGCCAATGCGAAGAGAATAGGGCCTGTATGACAAAAGGGACTTGAGTTTAAACGATTTTTCAGTCTGTAAGTAAGAATCAATTTTTGGAGAAGTAGGTAGTGATCAACCTTATCGAACGCCTTCTCTGCATCAGTGTAAATCAGATCCAAATCCAACTGCAAACCACTAGGTATCATTCGCAGCAGAGGCTGTATTTACAAACTCACATAGGTTGGGATACTGTGGATCTGCCAGAGATAAAGCCATGCTGTAGCTTAACAATATGATGCTCAAACAGTTTAGACAAGTTAGTACACTAAATAATTTCAAAATTTTTAGCAATGGGGTTAAGAATACTAATAGGTGTATACGTCAGTTTCCAACATTATTTGTGCTTCCCTTTTTATGAATTGGAATGAAAACAGATTTCCAAAATATTTTCGGAAAGACACTAGTGTTTATGGAAGAGTTGAAAATATGGGTGAGTGAATTTGCCAATGCATCAGCACACCCCTTGAAGT